TGGACAAAATCTAATCTCCTCCTCTGCAATTGATTAAACGGTGCGTTTTAGTACCGAATATGTCTCTGAAACGTTGCCGTTTCCGAAACATAATCCATGAACTCTGTTTCCCTGCTTCATTGGAGCTTTCATGTCCAACGAAGGATAACGGCGTCGATGGCCGTGGCGACAATTTCTTTGAATTTCCAGCACTTTCAAAACCCCAGATTAAGAAAACCTAATCTTAATCGACAGGCATTGCGACAATTCTCAGTTTCAAAACATTTTTGCTTCAGCTGATCTTCGTCGGTTGCAGCTGCAGCTACGATTAAAGCACGAAATTACACTTTATGGAGCAGCATCTTCGCCTCCGGTGTGCTTAATTTTCTCTGATTTCTTGTTTATTACAGACTATCAGAAGAATTATAGTATAATTTTGTGATTTTCGCATTAGAGTTGTTCGATTTAAGGGCGACACAATATCAGCAGCTGGTTCAAGGGAATTTGACCCTTCAAAAATATATAACAACATGCTGTTTGATATCTTTCCCCTTTTTTAGTTTTAATGTTTGCAATGTGAATAATTGAAATAATTTTCTTAAGGTCTGGAGGCATCTGTTTTGTATTATATTAAGTCCTCGAAGCTTGGAATTTGGAGATTAGCTGGCGATGGCAATGCATGTGTTATCACTTTCTTGAGGAAATGTGGTGGACAATCAATGATTCTTCTGTAAACAAATGTTTCTAGAATTTAATGTGCTGCTTTTTTGGAGTGTGTGATGAATTATTACGAAGTATCATATGATTTCCTCTAAGTTGTACTGTGTAATAAATTTGCATTTCATCAGTGGAATACATATGTTCTCGTTTTCCTCACTAAATTATATTGATCTTATGCGTGTTACCTCGCAGGCTTGCGCTAATTATGTTAATTTGATTGGATTAGCATTTTTTATTGTTACTGTAACAAATCAGATTGGATCATCAACGTCCTCTTAATTTGATTCTTCTGATCCTTAATTAATTTGCGCTATATTAATTTCCAACTCCCCAATCCGGTTAATCCTCCACAATATCTTGCATTCTAGTGTTCGACATATATTCAATCAACTTTTTGAACATTAATGAATGTTAATTTGTCTAAACTCTTATTCATACCTTTCCTTAAAACAATTGCATAGCATATGGGGTAAGATAATACTCAGTATACTTTCTGATTTAACACTCTTATCAATATTTATTGGTTTAACTATTAAATTTTACAACTAAAATTTTTTTTTTGAATTTAAATTTAAAAATATGAATTTATTAATGAATGTATTATAAAGTATATTAAATAAAATGATGTGTCAATCATTGGCTAATGGGGTATTAATCACAAAACAACGAAAACGTTCCATTCTACACAAACTAGCATTTGTGGAATATGTTGAGAAAGGAATAAAAAGAAATTCATGTAGGCGTATGGAATGGGGTGTGGAAAAAACATGTTTAGCCCCCATCGGAGCTGTTGGGGCAATTGATGGTAGGCGTGTCCAATGGTTTATGGAAATATAGCATGGAAGACATTGAACCAAGGAAATTGAAGATATTCCGTAAGAAATGGGGCACGGAAAAAGCATGCTTGGGGTCCTGTCCGAGCTGTTGGGATAATTTATGGAAGGCGTATCCAGTGGGTTATGGAAATAGCTGAGTAATATTGCTACGCATTGACAAATGTATTATATTTTATTGCTGTTCAAAAATACTGTAGTTTATATAAATCTTTTTCTGCATTTTTGTTGGAGTTAGATGGCAAGAGGTAGCTAATTTGGGCAGGTTGCAATGGGAGATATCCTGACTATACAGCTGTGAGTCCTTGAATTCATCTCTTGGTCTTATCTTCACTGTTTGAAGAATGAAATAATCTCCAAGCTTTTGAAGAGCTTCTTTGTGGGTTCTGTGCCGCACACAATCATTTTGGATCTCTCCTTTTCCCTGCTTTAATTTTTGTAAGACTGTTATGTCCTGATGTCTACTGTTATGTGCCTAGTTTACTATTTCTTTTATGTTCCTTTCTTTCTTAGCTTTTGTTAGGTTGTGTCAACTCTTGCAAAACTTTTGTTTAACATTAATA